GTCGTAGTAGCAGTAGTAGTAGCAGTAATAGTAGTAGTAGTAGTAGTAGTAGTAGTAGTAGTAGTAGTAGTAGTAGTAGTCGTAGTAGTAGTAGTAGTAGTAGTGATAAGATTATTATGCATGTTCGTATTAATCACATTCTGAGGAATAATAGCAGGATTAATATGGTTAATCATCAGACTACGGATAATAGTAGTAAACTTAATTCTAACAAGGACAGCCTTGTTACTACTACTACTACTACTACTACTACTACTACTACTACTACTACTACTAATAGTACTACTACTACTACTACTACTACTACTACTACTACTACTACTACTACTACTACTACTACTACTACTACTACTACTACTACTACTACTACTACTACTACTACTACTACTACTACTACTACTACTACTACTACTACTACTACTACTACTACTACTACTACTACTACTACTACTACTACTACTACTACTACTACTACTACTACTACCACTACTACTACTACTACTACTACTACTACTACTACTACTACTACTACTACTACTACTACTACTACTACTACTACTACTACTACTACTACTACTACTACTACTACTACTACTACTAATAATAATAATAATAATAATAATAATAATACATATACTAATACGAACAAGAAATATCAGAAGCTATCGTACTGATACCGCTACTCTTCCCTCGCCGGCTGGATTCGCCTCGAAATTCTGGTCAGAACGCATCCCTGGAGAGGCCCGGGGAGCAGCGGTGTCCGTGTCTTCTGGTTTCCCACGCTCCCGACTGCCTTCTCCAACCAACTCCCCCTCTCCCATCATCATCATCAGCATCAGCATCATCATCATCATCATCATCATCATCATCATCATCATCATCATCATCATCACCAGCCTCATCATCATCATCGTCATCGTCATCGTCGTCTTCATCATACTCATTATCATAATCATCAGCATCAGCATCATCATCATCACCATCATGATTATGATGATGATCATCATCACCTTTATCACCATCATCGTCACCATCATCACAATCATCATCATCAGCATCATCAGCATCACCATCATCAACATCAACGTCAACGTCGTCGTCGTCGTCTTCATCATCTCACTCTCCTCTTCCTCTTCCTCTTCCTCTTCCTCTTCCTCTTCCTCTTCCTCCTCCTCCCTCCCTCTCCCCCTGCCTTCCCCTCCCACCCTCGCTCCCCCTCCCCCTTCCGTCCGCTTCGGCCTTCCATTTCCCCCCTCCGCTCCTCGGTCCTCCGTCCGCTTCAGCCTTCCATTCCCCCCCCCGCCCATTCCCGCTTCCCATTCCCCCCCTCCCATTCCCGTTTCCCTCCCCCCCCCCCCCCTCCGTTCGCTTCAGCCTCCCATTCCCCCCCCTCCCATTCCCTTCCCCACCCCCTCGGAAAAGGGGAACACATACCGATGCGTTTGCTCTTTTCCCTCGTCGCCATGGCCAGACTCGCCTCGAGATTCAAGTCAGAACGCGCCCCTAGACAGGTCAGTGGAGTGGCGGCATCGGTATCTGTCTGCCACTATCCCCCTCCTCTTCCCCTCCCCTTGTCTATCCCCCTTCCTTCAATCTCCACCCTTGATCCGTGCACTGGGGCCTGATCGAGTTTTTTTTCTTTGAGGGCGGGGGGGACGCCGCAGACTCAACGTCATGGCGAGGACAAGTGGCCGTGACGGGACGTGGCGGATGTGGGGGCCCTATGGGGCGATGTCAGAAACCCGTCTAGGAAGAAGCAGGATGACAAACAACGCGAAGGGATGGAGCTTCAGACGAGCGGGAAGGACGGTCGTCAGGAGACAGTTGACGATGTGCGACGGTCGTCACGACATAGTCGTTGTCTTCGGGCGTGTATACAGGCATAATTCTTGTTCAGCAGATCTGTTCGCACGATCCTCTACTTTCGCACACGACCCGAGACAAACACACGATATCAATAGTGGCAAGGGTAGCGTGTTGCCTGCCGTTGATGTACACTTCTTCTCGTAGTATGTCCCATTTCTCCTAGTATGTTCTAACTGCCCGTTGCAGCTTCGACTTCTACCGCATCCCACTCTCCGTGCATTCATTCAATCGCCTCATGTAGCTCCTTGCAGACGCACCTAGGAGCGCGAACGAGCATCTCCAGCATTTCAGAACGTGGTGAAGGTGTGCGGGGATACCCAGGTGTGCCTCCACGAGGCAAGCGCTGCTGACGGTGATGAGGATGCTGATGATGATACTGCTGCTGATGATGCTTATGATGATGCTGGTGGTGGTAATGATGATGATGATGATGATGATGATGATGATGATGACGACGCTGCTGCTGATGACGCTGTTGATGATGATGTTGATGATGCTGCTGCTGAGGATGCTGCGGCTGCTGATGATGATGCTGCTGCTGATATTGCCGATGATGTGATGTTGATGCTGATGCGGCTGTTGATGATGCTGATGCTGATGCTGATGATGACGACGATGACGATGATGCTGATGATGCTGATGTTGATGCTGCTGATGCTGATGCTGATGAGGATGCTGATGATGCTGATGATGTTGACCACGATGATGATGATGATGACGACGGCGATGATGATGATGATGATGATGATGATGATGAGGAGGAGGATGATGATGATGATTATGATTCTGATGATACTGCTGCTGCTGATGATGACGCTGATACTGATGCTGATGATGATGCTGCTGACGATGATGGTGATGTGGCTGCTGACGATGCTGATGATGCTGATGATGCTGATGATGATGATCATGGCGATGCTGATGCTGCTGCTGATGACGATGATGTTGACGATGATGACGATGACGTTGATGATGCTGATGTTGATGATCATGATGAGGATGCTGATGATGAGGATGCTAATGCTGATGCTGCTGATGCTGATGCTGATGCTGTTGATGCTGATGATGCTGCTGATGATGATGCTGATAACGATGATGCTGCTGATGATGATGAGGACGATGGTGTTGATGTTGACGATGCCGATGATGACGATGTTGTTGATGATGCTGATGATGATGATGATGCTGATGATCATGATGATGCTGATGGTCATGATGATGCTGATGATGATGCTGATGATGCTGCTGCTGATGATTTCGATGATGCTGATGATGATGATGATGCTGACGATGCTGACGATGATGATGACGATGGCGATGATGATGATGCTGCAGATGGTGACGATGATGATGATGATGATGATGATGATGATGATGATGATGATGATGATGATGATGATGCTGATGATGATGATGATGATGATGATGATGATGATGATGATATTGATGATGCTGATGCTGATGCTGATGATGATGATACGGCTGCTGCTGATGATGCTGCTGATGCTGATAATGCTGATGATACTGCTGCTAATGATGATGTTGCTGCTGATGACGTTGATGATGATGATACTGCTGCTGCTGCTGATGATGATGATGCTGATGATGCTGATGATGCTGCAGCTGACGATGATGACGATACTGATGACGATGCTGATGATGCTGCTGCTGACGATGATGACGATAGTGATGATGATGATGATGCTGATGATGATGATGATGATGATGATGATGATGATGCTGATGATAATGCTGATGATAATGATGAGGATTATGATGATGCTGCTGCTGCTGCTGATGATGCTGATGATGCGGATGACGATGATGATGACGATGATGATGCTGCTGGTGGTGCTGACGATGATGATGATCGCTCCCAAGACGCCTTTTTCCTGGCGAACCTCAAGACAATCCTCAGACACTCCAGAAAGAACCCAAGCTCTCTTCGTATTCAATTTCTGCCCATACTGGCCCTGGATAGTGCGGAGGAGGAAAAGAAGGGAGCGGAGCATGAGGAGGATGACGAGGAGCATGGGGAGCAGGATGACGAGGCGCGCTCCACCTTGCCTCGGCGGCGAGCGAGGGGGGGAAGTGAGAAATGGCGGGCCATCCAGAAGACTCGGAAGTCCCCCAGCCTTTGATAAGTTTTCTAAGCCTTCCCTGAAGACACAGAAAACTTATCAGAAGGCGCGATGGCTTCTGAGAAGTCCCGCCGCCTTCTGAGAAAGCCTTCTCCTTCTCGTTTCCCCCCCTCGCTCCCCGCCAATTGGCGTCTGCCAGCATTGAGGCCGATTCCATCTGTACTCCAATTCGGCGGTCGGCGCTTCGGGGGAAACGCGCCGATTCTTCGGCCAGACCTAGGGCCCCAGAAAGGCCAGAAAAACCCTAATTAGGTTCCGAGCCCTCACGCTTCCGAACAGCGCCGACGTCGAGAATTTTCTCCCGCGCGCGCCTCAGGAAAAACCACAAACCCAAAAGGATAAGGAGCTGGATCAGGAGGAGGGCGATGACGAATTCCCTCCCTCTCCCACTCGGTCGATCCCCCCCTTGGCTGCCCTGGTACGCCCGTCTTGAAACGCAGCACGCACCGTGTTCAGAACGTCCGTGCTGGCACGCTGCGTGTTGGCCCACGTTCTGGCGAACGCGTCGCGCCAGACCTACGCTTTCAGTCTGCGTGTCGGGTGGGAAGCAGGGTGTCAGGAGGAGGAGGAGGAGGATGAGGAGGAGGGGGAGGAGGAGGAGGAGGAGGAGGAGCAGGGCGACGAGGCGCGTTTCACCCTGGGGCTCCCAGGTCCGCCGCGGGGCCGCGAGGATGATCGTGCCTCGCGCGTCGCGGTCTGGGCCAGAGCGGCCGCCCTTCTCCGAGGGGGGCGGCGCGGAGGCGCGGGGGCGCGCGGAGATATTCGGGCGCCGCTTATCGTGGGACGCTATGCGCGGAGTCAGTTGACTTATGGAATCCTTGCGCTCCCCACCCAGGTGGTTCTCGTCGTCGTCGTCGTCGTCGTCGTCGTCGTCGGGCGTCAACGTCGGCAGCGGCAACGTCGTCGTGGTCGTCGTCGTCGTCGACGACTTCAGCGGCATCGTTGTCTTCGGTCCGCAGAGAAAAAGTGCAGGTTATCCCCGACGGCGGGGCA